GAGAAACCCATGGGCCATGCCAGCTTTAGAAACAAAAACAGACAAATAAGGCTCTAAAGCAGCCTTTGAAAGACATTTTGAATCAGAAAAAAGAGGCTTTTTGGAGCGTGTGGGGTTTTCAGATCCCTGCTGAGCAAACATCCAGCAGTTTCATCTTAGCGGAATGTCTTGCGCTATTTCAAACTATTCAGAGTCATTTTATGTCACAAATAAATATTGAGCCCAAAGTTCAGTTCAGTCATTCCTATTCTGCTGCAGCCATTTCAGCACTGTGATTAGTTATTACTCCTTTAAGGCCCAACAGGCAGGAGGTCTTTGACAACCATTCATTATGTTTAAATAAACAGATGTGCTAGCTAGATATATACCTCTCTGCCTTTGAAATTATGTCCAAGACAGCACAGCAGCCCATCAGCCTGTAACTCCTCAGAGAAACTGATGTTGATCTCCAGACTCTTTCCCTTCATTTCTAGCCAGGTCATTTGACATAATCACTCGGCCAGCCAGTCAGAGAGAGCCAAGCTCTCGTGCTGTTGCCTTTATCTGTGTGTTTGTTTTCATACATTTTCAGCACAAAAATATTGAGACTATAGTAAAACGAGAGAAAAACCAGGGGTAGCATAGAGGAGCAGCACGATGCGCCTGATTTTTGAAGTGCTTTTAATAAAACCTTCATGTTTCATTTGTTTACTGTGGTGGTGGTGTGTTAGTGTGTGTTGTGCTAGAATGAGTGGATCAGACACAGCAGTGCTGCTGGAGTTTTTAAACACTGTGTCCACTCACTGTCCACCCTATTAGACACTCCTACCCTTGTCAGTCCACCTTGTAGATGTAAAGCCAGAGACGATAGCTCATCTGCTGCTGCACAATTTGTGTTGGTCATCCTCTAGTCCTTCATCAGTGGTCACAGGACGTTGCCCACAGGACGCTGTTGGCTGGATATTTCTGGTTGGTGGACTATTCTCAGTCCAGCAGTGACACTGAGGTGTTTAAAAACTTCAGCAGCATTGCTGTGTCTGATCCACTCAGACCAGCGGAACACACATTAACACACCACCACCACATCACTGTTACTGCAGTGCTGAAAATGATCTACCACCCAAATAGTACCTGCTCTGTGAGGGTCCATGGGGGTCCTGACCACTAATTGTAGAACTACAAAGTACACCTATATAGTAAGTGGAGCTGATAAAATGGACAGTGAGTGGAAGTCATAATGTTATGCCTGATCGGTGTGTGTGTGTGTGTGTGTGTGTGTATATATAATGTGTGTATATATATATATATATATATATATATATATATATATATATATATATATATTCCAATACTCCATATGGGACAAATGTATTACCCTCGTCCGACGTTGCATAAGAACAAGTATATCTTTAACAAAACTGTATATTAAATTATTATATCACAGTAATTTCTTTGTCTGTTCATTTCATTCTGAGTCTATTACTACTACATTTCTCTCTGTCAGTGACCTGTCAGTGGCCAATAAAACAATACAACACTGAGCTGTGTTTAAGCTGTTTGAGGTAAGGGCTGCTGTGTGCTTTATTTCGCTTTAGTTCCATCCAGTTCAGTTTTGTGTATTGTGCAGTCATTGTCCCAAAGCAGCTTGTCTAGAAATGCAGGTCTAGACCCCTGATGAGCATCAGCTGGGGGGGAAACTGTCTGAAAAAATTACTGAGATGAACCATAACTCAAAAAGGAAAACCTCCCAACGTCCTCTGGACAGTGGAATTATAACAATAAATTTACAGCGTTTTTTTAAAATTAGCATTAAAAAGATCCACTGAGATCATGATACAGTGGAGACGGTCTGGAAGATAAACCAGTAATGAGTGTAAATTTATTACTGATTGTGTAGGGCAGTTAGTGGTGGGGAGCCCTTAAGTAGGCCTGTCACAGTTAGAACATAATCACCTAATCACAGCTATTTAAGCTATTTAAGCTGACTTTGCTTCTGTTTTCACTCTCGTTTAGAACATGTAGCTTTGCTTGACTCTACATCTACTTCAGTATAACTGTAGACATTTGTGTGAGTATTGATTCAATACACAACCAGTGTTAGCTAGTAAGAAAACATAACTAGCAAATAATGTGGCTAATCAACCAATTTGGCCACTTCTCTTAAGTGGAAAGACAATTAAATCATTAATAGCAATAATTTAAATGACAGTTAATCATTAGACAGGTTCATGATTGTGATCGTCCTACCTTCAAGGCCTTTTAGGCCTTCAGAGAAGCTCTCGTTTGTTTAATATAATGATCATGCTGTTTGTATTTGAACTCTGCAAATATTGTAGTTACCTTATTTCATTGTTATCTTTTGGTTTGGAGACCAAAAATATTCTTTAAACGCCCATTAGAAATGGTTCCCGTCCAATAGGCAGACACAGCCAAACTAGTACCCTGGATTGGTGCTTTCCTAGACTACAGCTAAACTAAGCTATTGTGGTACGCTACTATTGCTGCTCATTGGAAAAATATGGAATATCTGGTTTGTCGTTCTCCATTTACTCTCATACTGTGTGTCTGAGATTTGCTCTTCAGTGACATCAGTCATTCAAAGGCCAATAACATGATAATGATTGACAAATGATACATTGTGCAGCCCCATTAGGCAGCAGGAGCACACATACTGTAATTGCTTCTCAGTGTCTCTGAGTGATGTGACGTTGTTGTGGCAGGCAGGCGGCTCCGAACGGCTCACATCACCTCCGCACGCCTTTTAAGTGTCAAGATTCAGAGGAAAGCGTCAGATCAGTGAGGCTGTCGCTGACAGACCCTCAGCCTGCTGCTAAACTCTGTGCACTCCTCCGTCTCTGCTTTAAAGAGAGCGTGGTCGCCACCTTTGGCGTTCGGGCCTTAATAACATCTCAAGGGTAAAGAGGGAACCGGTGTCGGACCTTTTAATCCACCGCTGGCGCTTAGACAGGATTAAGGCAGGCATGTATGGCTTTATGGTTGTTAGCATTCATCAAGTTTTTGCTGATTTAAATTGGCCCTTAGGTAGAGCTTTACATTTTTATATGACAGAGGTGTCACTTCACTGAATGGGCCTGACTGAGTGTGGTTGCTGTCTATTTGTATTAGAGTTTAACTGGAGGGGAATTCCACCATATTTCAAAAATTCTGCGTAATTCAGTTGTTATAATGTAAACAGGGTCATTCGGAGTGGTTTGATGTGAAATGGTCCATTCTAAATAAACTTGCAGAGTCAAAAATTTTCACAGTAGTGGTGATAGGAACCGGACGTCTAATGACTTTAATACCTCTTGAAGCTCCCTGAACTGGTGGAATTCCCCTTTAACTCCAGTTAAACTGTAATACAAATAGGGCACAACTCATACTCACCACTATTTTGCCATCATCAACATTACGTATAAAACCCAGTAGACACATGCTGGTTCACTGGTCTATTGGATAGGAAATAAAATGTCTATTTTTGTGTCGTAGACAGCGTGACTCTTTCTGTCACCCCCACTTTAATGAAATCTGAGTCTTTAAGTTTCTCTGTAGTGAGCTATTTCTTATCAGACCACCCTGAATGACTTTGATTACATCTCAACCATTGAATTATGCAGTAATTTTAAAATTCCCTTTAAGCGTTTATCTGCAGATGTATTAAGTACTATTAAGCACCCATTAGCCACTATGATACTAATGTCTTAGGTATGTAGTTATGTAGTATTGAAGTGTGGACCTGCATACAGAGCCATAGTTTCAAGGGAAACTTGGATGTTTTTCAGCCTAATCTGTATTAGCAGCACATTAATCGTCATTGACTCAAAGCACACTTATAATGGAAGCCAATGGAAAAGTGCTTCAGCAAGTGTCCATTAGCTTCTATTATAAGTGCAGGGAAGTACAACGGAATTACCGTCCGTGGTAACTTGCTGTATGCCACATATGCGGCAGATAGAGACTACGATGAAAATCGATGAAGTATTCCTTGAAGGTGTTAACTGATATTTTTAATGATATGTTTACGTTGAAAATGAAATCTAAACATTTCAAGTCAGAACAGCTTCAAAACAAACGTTAACATGAAAACGTTCACAAGAACAGCTGTGTTTCCTGATGCATATTCATTTATGTTTACTCTGCAAATACAGCAAATGTGTCATGTAATATATAAACAAGGCTGGCTGTCACATCCATTGATATAATACTGCAAAAAAGTCAGAGACCACCCATCATGCTTTTAATTTAAAAGCACAAGTTATTTATTTGTATATTTATGAGGAGGTTGCATAAGGAAGAGGAAAGTCAAAGGAAAAATAAATGGGGAAAATACTGGAGTTCAAAAAAATGATTAAAAGCTACAGAGAAAAATTTGCAAGACCTGGTAGACCACCAAAACTGTCCCCATCAGACAAACAGTACTTAAAGCATTCATCTTTGACAGAGAGGAGAAAATCAAGCTCCGCTCTTACTTCCACTGTGAGAAGACAACTCAACACTATGAGTCTGAAAAGATGTGTAGCTGTCAAAAAGCCCTCACTGAGAAATGAATCAAGCAAAGAAGCTGCTGTTGTTCTCAAAACAATGCACTGACCCCCCCCCCAGAGTCCAGATTACTTTGATTGTGAGAAGCAGAAAAATGAATGAAAGGTGGTCTCTGACGTTTGTTGAGTACTGTTCATTTTTTATCATTTTTTTCTGGTTTGTTACTGAGTGACGTGTGTTTTTGTTTGCCTTTATCGTCTGATTTCCTTGAATTTTTGCCAAAATAATCTGTCAAATAATATAAGTGATTATTCCACCGTGAATAGTAATATTTAAATAGAACTGTTCATGCATTTAAAAGCATCTCAGTGTGCAAATAAGACAAATGCTGGTCTTCTGTGTGTTTAGCAGAAGTGGTTCAGTCAGCTGTGTGTTATGTAAGTCTTGTTTCTCAGGGCGTGGATCGCCGTGTTTGTGTGTGTTTGTGGGTTAATTGCAAGTGGGACTCAAGCTGTGTGTGTTTGTGTGTGTGTTTGCAGGCTAAAGCGTTCGCCTGGTTGACGGAGTCGAGCGCAAAACGCTCGAGTTCAACACGGCCACTTCCTGATGATGACAGTAAACATGGGTAAGACTGAGGAACGTGTTCTCTCTATCTCTCTCCCTCTCTCTCCCTCTCTCTCTCTCTCTCTCTCTCTCTCTCTCTCTCTCTGTCCTTCTCTGTCTCTGTCTCTCTCTCACTCTCTCTCTCTCTCTCCCTCCCTCTCCCTCCCTCTCTCTCTCTCTCTCTCTCTCTCTCTCTCTCTGCCCTTCTCTGTCTCTGTCTCTTCCTCACTCTCTTTCTTGTCACCTCTCTTTTTCATGTTCCTTCCTCCCTCCCTCACTCCCTCTATCTTCCTCTCTTTCTCAGTCTCTCACTCTTTCTCTTTCCCTCTTTCTTCTGCACTCTCTCTTTCTTTGTCTCTCTGTCATCCTCTCTGTTTCTTTCTCTTTCTCTCTCTCTCCCTCTCTCCCTCACTCTCTCCATCTTCCTCCCTCACTCCCTGTATCTCCCTCTCTTTCTCACACTTTTACTCTTTCCTTTTTTTCTTCTTCCCTCTCTTTCTTTGTATCTTTGTCTGTCATCTTCTGTTTCTCTCTCTTGATCTTCCTCCCTCACCCCCTCTGTCTTCCTCTCCTTCTCGCTCTCTCGCTCTTTCTCTTTATCTCTCCTTCCCTCTGTCTCTCTGTCTTTGTCTCTCTGTCATCCTTTCTGTTTCTCTGTCTCTTGATCTTCCTCTTTCACTCTTTCTCTTTCTCTCCTTCTCCCTCCATCACTCCCTTATCTTCCTCTCCTTCTTGCTCTCTCTTTATCTTTCCATCTTCCTCCCCCTCTTCCTTTATCTTTGTCTCCTTTTTGATCTCTCACTCTTGTTTCTTTATCTTTCCCTCTCTTTGTTTCTGTCGTCTTGTTTTTTTCTCTCTCTCGATCTTCCTCGTTCGCTCTCTCTTTCTTTATGTCTTTTCTGTCTATCCTCCTCTCTGTTCCCACCCTCTCTCTCTCTCTTGCTTGCTCACTCGCTCACTCTGTTTTCCCCTCTTTCACACTCAGTACTCTTGCAAATCACTCACTCTTCCTGTTGTCAGTTCCTCTCAGAGAAACTCTACCGGTTTTCAGCATCATGTTAAAGTCTATCGAAGTAGCTCAGCAGCAGACAGGAGGCTCCTTTCTGCAGCGTTCTTACTGCTACACTTTCAGTGTTCAGTGGTTTTAAGCTGTAATTGCGGAGTTCAACAAAATCCAGCCCTGTATGTTGAGGAAACCTTGAAAATTAATTCTGAAGCTTCAGACTGTTGCAGCAAACCCTTTTCCTTTTCTTAGAAACAGTGAGATGTAATGTAACTGTAACTGTAACTGTAATGTATGTTAATGCAGTGACATTTTATTCCAACACTGTCAAAAAAAAGAGTATCGTACAGGTACATTTTATATATAGATAGAGATAGAAATGCAGTTTGCCATATGTAGGTAAGGACAGCTGGCATTATCTAATGTGTGGAAAACAAAACAAAAAATGGAGTTACTTGGTTTTGACATGACAGTAGCTATTAAAATCCATCACTGTCGTCCCTCTGGACCTCCTTAAATGGTCAAATATCCTTTCAAACACATAAACCACATTTTACGTATACATCAGTTCTGTTCATAAAAGGATATGTTCATTTTTGAGGACCATTTAAAGTCTTGTAGGAATTTAGGAAGTGTGAGTGTACGTGTGGGGATATTTGTTACAGTGGTATTTGGGTTCAGCATTCAGACAGTCAGCAGCCTTTGTGTGGTTTTTACCCAGCGATAACCCACAGGGATATTTTCAGCACCTGAGCAGTGGGATTAACTCTAGGGGACATCATAAAAGCCAAACAATGAGAACAGGTACCGTCTTAACCCATTGCTATCCAACAGCTCCATTTAAATGCAGTAGAACTTGTTCTGATTAGTCTAAGGAGCTGTGAAGTGAAATGAAAAATTAAGTGATAGTTTGATCAGTTTGAGAAAATCTTGTGCTCAGGCAAGCTCAAAGAACATACAGACCAAAGTAAATTTACATTTTCCTTTGGTTTATTCCATGTTGGTCCTGGAAGTCATTTCCCTGCATATATTAGTGTTCTTTCTTGCTGTAACAGCCCATTTTAACTTTTAAATATAACCCATTTTAACCTTATGAAGTGTGTGAAATGAGCTAATGGGTTGGTTCAGATGTTTATCACTAAAACGTGGTTTATTCAGATGCGTGATTTTACATATTAGACCCGTAGGCAAGTGACTGTGAATGCTAGCATTTGAATGTTAGTGTGGTTCAGGTCACGACAGCTATTTTCTGCATGACTGTCTTTTCACTTCCAATGAGGTGTTTATAGATGTGCGTGTGAAACCTGAAGTGGTTTTCTTTGTGTTTTACAGATGACGGTCTCCAGAATGGGCCTGGGCCACACAGGAATACACAAGGTAGAGTTGACTGCTCACCTTGCACGAATATGTTCTTTCCTAGCTGTAACTTTAGCAAAGATTCCATTCGAGCTAATGCGAAATTGTAGTGCACAACACAGTATTTGGTCACAATACATGAATTTGGAGTAAGTTAGAGAGGATCAGGTGTAGTTTTTATGTCCTGTAATCAAGATTTTTAGGGATAAACTTCTAAACTGCACGGAGATGAGCTAAGCTGAAGCTAAGCTAAGAGCAGCTGAGCGGAAAGTTAATTTTAGCTGTTGAATGCTGCCAGCTAGATTCATATATCATATTACGATACTTCCAAGACATTTTCACAATACTTGATATGCGTCACGATATTTAGTTTTTCTCAGATTTAAGAACTTTTTAAACAGACAAAATATAACCAGTAGAGCCGAATATAAAAATGTTAAGATAGTAATAATAAACCTACTAAAATCTAATAGACCTACAACTACAGTGAATTTTATTGTTTTACATACTACATTGCACTAAATCCACTTAAAAAGGCTTAATTATACTCACTTTGTAATGAAATGTAGTTATTTAGAGTTCTCTAAGCATCATAAAAGAGTATTGTGACATCATTTATCTCAATAACGAAAAAATATCGTCACCCCTACTAGCAAAGTTAACGTTACTGCCAACAAAACTAGCTACTGTAGGCTGAAGTTACTCTAAGAGTGAGTCTCAAAGAGCCCCCTAGTTCAGTAGTTTGAGTACCCAACATCCCAATGTGCAAGTGTACCAGTGTTCCTGCTAAAAGGGGCCTAGCCAGTGTCTGAATTGGCCTTAACTATGTACTCATACATAGTCTGCATATAGAGCTAGTGAGCGAATCGAGACACAGCCAAAGAGATTTGCTGGCAACATTTTCCCCATTGTACCTGCCAAAAATCCCATTACAGCAATAACAGGAAGTGTGGTAATATCTTACCATAAGCTATACCTATAAAGTCAGGCTACTCTGCAATAGAGACAGGCATAGAGGCTTCGCTAGCAGTGCTGAAACCAGTGAACTTGGTCTGTTAATCAAATGTTTATCCCAAATAATCTTGATTAGAAGTAAAACATACACAAAATTTATACTAATAATACGACCCTTCGCATGAATACACAATACACATCATTTGAAGCTAATAACTCATGTAAATGTATGTATTTTGACAAAAACACACTTCTCAGTTGGGTTGAATAAGAATTTTACCAATATTTTCTAAAGCTTGTCCAACCTAACATCAGTAGCTGTAAAAGGACATATTAGTGGGTGGAGCATGAGTAGGTCAGTTACACTTAATTTAAGAGAAATGGTAAAACATTCTAGAAAATCCTTCCACTCAGATGTAACCAGCAGTGTAGGCTGCATTATAATGCATGGCGAGGCTGCCAGCGGCTGAGTTAGAGCAGACGTGGGGCTCAGCAAACTCAAACACTCCTAAACACTTACATCATCCACATTATTCTTTCTGTTAAACATTAATGCACAGGTTGCGACAGCACATGCTTGTGGGGAAGTATTTGAGGCATTTTGTTTGGTGGTGCTTGTGTCAGGGAAAGCAGAGGCCCAGAAAAATGTGCTAGAGAGAAAGAGTGTTTGTGTGTACACCACAAGTTGCCAGTTTATTAGGGACAATTATCTATACACTATAGGTTCAGAAGAATGTGGATCCCGCCTATATGAGTATGAGTTTACCATGTTAGAAAAAAACCCAAGCATAATATATATAAAGGTGCCATATCATTTGCACATGCCACACGTTTTGTGCTTTTATTTTTCTCAAAGTGTTAAATATAGTAAATGAACAGTAATTGTGCATTAAAATGTGCAGGGGTGTGTTTTTTGTAGAGCAGGGGTGGGGAACCGCAGTCCTGGAGGGCCGGATTATTGGATTGCGAGAGACCATCACTCCGACTTACTAAAAAGCCGCTCTTCCAAAAAATGCACCATTCCGCACTGCTCACATACTCTTTACCCTGTCCATCAATGGAAAGGGACCGCCATCGGACCACTGCTGACCTGATATTAATTGAGTGGTGGACTATTCCTCCACCAGATATAGTGTATCAGCAGTGTTGCTGGGTTTTACACGTTGTGCACACTTACTGACCATTTTATAAGTAATCCCTCCTTGTAGCCCCACCTTACTGGTGTACAGTTATAGCCCACCTGTTGATGCACAGTTTGTGTAGCCTCCTTCTGAAGGCCTCCTAGTGGCCAATACTACTCTGGTATTAGATAAACTAGGACACTGTGAACTGTTGAGCTGCTAGCGAGCAATGAGAGGTGAAAGGGGAGGGGTGAGAACCCCCTGCTATGAAAACAGTTCACACCTTTCCACAAAGACGGTTGTGCTGAGATAAAACAATTGCAGCTTTTTTCATATCAAACAATCGTGTACAACCGATACAAGTAAAAAAACTGTGGGAAATTCATTGTATAGCTATTGTGAAAAATGAGGGGGTTAAGTGTCCCTTCTTCAAGTGGTCAGTTTCTGACCACAGAGCTGCTCTTGGCTGCATATTTTTTGGTTGGTGGACTGTTTTCAACCTAGTGGTCACACTGATGTGAGGAAATTCCCAACACCTGCACCACACACACTACCATGTCAGTGTTGCTGCTGTGCTGAGACCCCTATTCAAATAATATCTGGAGAGTGGTGATCCTTTGGTGGTCCCTTTCTATTGATGGATAGTGTAGACGGGACTAAGAAAATGCGCAGCAACGGATGGACTGCAGCCTATAACTTTAAGCCAAAAGTGCACCCAGATGGCGGGAGCTTCTGAGAAAATGGTCATTGACTGTACAGTGTAGGTGTACCTAATAATCTTGCCACTCAATTAATGTTTTAATGCTTGTTTGAGTATATGGGTTTATGAGTGTGCATCTGTGTGAGTGTGCTTCACACACAGTATTCTAAGTTGCTATGCTCCACTTTGCTAATCTTGCTGAATGCCTTTGTGGTGATGTGAAGTGCAGCGCTGGGGAAATCCCCCTCAATGTCTCCATTCAGTCCAACACTCAGCACGCTTCCTCCAGCCCACTCACACACACACACACACACACAGACACACACAGACACACAGATAGATGATGCAATCCAGAGAAAGCACTTCCAAACTTCCCGGCAGCGTTCTTTGACTAACAGCGTCATTGGACTGCATGAATATGTCCTGCTTGATCAAGAAAGCAGAGTCTCTGAAAAGGTCAAGGTTGATGTATGTCATGGTAATGAGGCTGAAGAGTGGTTACAGGAATAGTTTGGCAAAAAATCAAATTTACAGTTTTCCTCCTGACTCTACATGTAGTTATTAAACCAAGATGTATTTAGTGTCTGATGTTTGCTTCTTTAGTGTTGCACTGGAGGCTAATGTAGCTTGTAATGGAAGCTTATGTACACCAGTTAGCCTAAATCATCACATACTTGCCTCAGATTGTATTAAGTTGTTGAAGAAGAGCACAGGCCAAAGTGAAGAACTTAACCATTGCTGCATCTGTTGTAAACATGCCTACACACCTTTTACCGCAGTGCCGCTGTAGTCTCTACAATGAGATTTCCTGGTGTGAAGACCGCCTTCTGATGATTTCTCTTGAAGGTTGAAGGTAGAGGTCTGCACAGGACTGTTTTTTCAGTTCTGCTCCCACAAGATTTCATCCCACTCCCGCAGAAAATCGGAATCATTTGTCCCGTCCCACCTGCAACCTGAAACGTTTTGGCCCGCTCCTGACCACGGAGACATAGTCTATTCACAAATACATTGTTCTCTGCTAAAATAACACATCAGTCATGGTCATCAGGATCACTGTAAGTAACTTCCCCAAATACCATTTATTCCCCTCAAACACAAAGCATGAATTAAACCACAGAGTGGGTATTTTTGGTATTTTGCTGGGCTCAGTAGCTGTGGCCGTCGGACTGAAGGCCCCGCCCTCTCTGCAAGCTACACGAACTTGCGTGTTGTTCGCATGATTGGTTGCTCCGCAAATTCTTTATAATGACTTCATTCATTTTGGTTGTTTTACTATTATCTTTTTATATTATTTATTTATGATTTAGTGATTGCTCTACTTTATTTAGGCTATTCATTAATTTGCGGGGTTTCTCTTCATGTGTGCTTCGGCCCACTCCCGCCTGCAGTGAGCTGGTTTCCTGCCCACTCCTGTGCGCAATGCTGAAAATTAGTCCCACACCGCAAGATACTGTGCAGACGACTAGTTGAAGTCTGAAGTAGATTTCAAAAGACTGCATATGTTTTGGGGTGGTTTTCCCCTGAGGTCCAAAAATACTGTTTTATGTACCAAAAACGGTCATAATTCATTTTTACGTGACCATTTTCAAACCTCTCTTTATCCCTTTAACTAAACAACCCAGTTTTTGTTACTATGCCTTTAAGGCTGATTTTTGTAAATGAGCTCTGTTTTGACTGGCTAACCTGTATTGTGCTTTGTTCAGAAAGCAGTCCAGGCAGAAACTCTCCTGATGACTTCAGTATGAATGGGCGGGGCTAAGCTGCAGTAGGCTGAATAAGCGGGTATATATGAATGCGTAGATTTTCCTGACGCCACCAAAACATGTGAAATCAAAATGGGCTGTTTTTGCGGCTTTCTGAAATCAAAAAAGTGAGAATATTACGTTTTCCATGATCTTGGTCCTTCAGATCAGTGGCTAGCTGTCAGGATTTGTTAAGCATCGTAGGGATTCCTGATTGTTGTGTGATGTATTTGCGTAGGGGACAACAACATGAAAAAGATACAAAATTGTGAATACAGTGCTGCACTGCAGATTACTCCAAAGCATGACAAATAACACGTTAAATGCTCATTGTAGGCCAGAATGACCATTTAAGTAATCTCTAAAGATTTGCTTTTGTGGCTTCTGACGCTCTGTTGCATACTGTTAGTCCTAAAAATGGACAAAAAAACATTGTGTAGTGGTCAGTAACCCAGATTCTAAGAAGTGCTATTTTGTCCTTTCTACAAAACCTTGGGAGCCACA